GACCGGCAGACGGCAGGTTGGAGGGCCCCTAAGGGGTGGGATTGGGGACAGGGTGGGGGACGAGGATCCCCTCGCAGCTGGTGGAGCCGGGCCGGAGGCGTACCCAGAACCCCGTGCAGCACCTGCCCGCGCCCGGATGAAGACGCAGCCACTTCGGAGGAGCATCGAACAGAGGACGGCCCCCAGGGTCCCTGCGACATTTCCTGGGGCTCCTGCGCCATACTCCCAAGAAAGTGGGGCGAAGGTGCTGACGCCCCAGAAGACGCGCCCCCTCCTCCCCCTCCCCGCAGCGCAGTGACTCAGCCTCGCTGTCCCTGGCCGGCTGAGCGGGGCCGCCGGCGAAGGACAGACGCCCACCTGCCCGCCGACCTAGCCGTGGCTCTCTCGGGACCCCCACCCTGCATCCAGTCGGGCGCCCCCTCCCCGTCCCATCCCGTCGGGCTGGTCCCTTTGCGCCCCCGACTTCCCGCCTCTGCGCGAGGAGCTGTCCTCTCAGGACCAGGCGGGGGCGGGGCCTCGGCCGGACTGCCCCGCCCCCAACTGAGCGCCCCCCCCCCCGCCGCCGGAAGTGCCTCTCCGCAGGGACATATTTGACGTCACAGGGCTTTGACGTCAAGGGCCGCGTGCCTGTCCGCGAGCGCTGGGGCCGAGAAAGGCGGGAGACGCGGGGGAGGAAGAGCAGCAGCGCCCCCAGCTGCGGGCGACGGAGGCACCACCGCCCGCCCGGGCAGCGCGCCGGCACCTTGGCTCTAGACTGCTTACTGCCCGGGCCGCCCTCAGTAACAGTCTCCAGTCACGGCCACCGACGCCTGGCCCCGCCCCAGGACCGCGGACCCGGCCACCTGCCGCGCCCCCGGCCCCTTTGTCCCCCAGGGTCCCTCAGCCCCGCGCGCGCTGTCCGCGCCGCCGCTGTCCGCGGTGCTGATCCAGCGCAGGCTCTGCCATCCGCCCGTCCGGTCCCTGGTCACCAGAGGCTGCTAGCGGCGGCCGGCTCACACGCACATCGCACGGCGCCCGAGCCCGGTCCCCATCGCGCGCGCTACCCCCGCTACCCCCCTCCCCAGCTCGCAGTCCTGACGTCTGCCTGACTGGAGCTGCCACGGTGCCGTCAGCAGCGCGCGCCCCGCCCCCGCGTCTCCAGGGCAACCGTGGCTTTCGATTGTTACTGTGGGAACCGGAGGTAACAGTCTACAGCCATGGTCGCCCCGCAGCACGCCCACGCGCCGCGCCCGCCGCGCTCTGCCAGCCCCGGATGGGGGAGACCAGGAGCAGGAGGAAGCGGGGGCGGCGAGTCAAGATCGGATGAATCTGTGGGGGCGGAGGGAGGTGCGGTGCTGGGCGGGGCCGGCTACTCTCGGGTCTGCTGCGTGTCTACCAAGGCAGGGAAAGAAGCACGGTGGGCAGTGTTTCTGACCGCCCGCTTCAATGACCATCCTGTTCTCTTAGCCGAGGTTGCAGCCAAGGAATGGCGAGAGAAGGGGTAGTTCTGGGATTTGTGTTCTTTTTAGCTCCTCCGTGCGAGGAGGCTGCTGGGACCTGAAGGTTTCCTGGAGACTGAAGGGAGTAGACGAAGCCAAGTTTTCCTAAATGTGCCACAACCGCATTCTTCCAGGAACCCCTCTGCTGAGTAGGCAGAAAGCGAGACTAATCCTTGAACCCATTTCCTGATGGAGTTACAGCCTTCCCTCACTCTTTCATCCTCTGATTCATGTAGGATGATAAGAAGGGTCCCCAACCCTCAGGAAACCAGTGTGCTTGTAAAGTTAACCCAGTCAGTAAAGCATTGTCTGAAAGCAGCCTCACCTCAATCGGTGCTGGATTCTAATTTGAGACAGTGTCTCAAATTAGCTCTAATGTGGCAGAGTGAATATCAGAGGGGTTGAAGTCCTATTTGTCCAGTGAAGCGTGAGCCACGAACTCTTCAAAAACACGCTTATGTCACCTGCCACTGCCAACATCACCCACTGCAGGGGCTGACTGATGCATATTGGGTGCAGGACTTCCCTAGGGACAGTGCTGGGAATGGTTAGTGCAACCCAGTCCTGCCACTCATTAATCCAATTTTTTGTTACCTCTCCATAACCCCTCCTTCACTAAACTAGTTTTAAGGCAATTGGTGCTGGTTTTACAGCTAATCAATTCCCACATGCTTCCTTCCTCCCACTCAAGGACTCCGAGGTCTTAGATTAAATGTACTTGATTCTGGAATCCAGTAGACATCCGTGGGCAGACTGTAGTGTGTGCAGATGGGCCTAGTGCACTGGGAAGCAGGAGGTCCAACCTGGCCTCATCACCAACTGGTTATTATTTAAGGGGCTGGGTTTCTGAGTCTTGTGTAACATGGGATAATAATCATTCCTCTTTGGCAGATTTGTTGTAAGGATCAAATAGTAAAATGAGTAAAAACCTTTGAAAACTGCAGAAGCCTATTTCAATCTTAAGTATTCTACTAGGCTGTTAATGTCTTTGTGAGGGACTGGTGTCGATGGGGAGACCCCAGCTCTGGGCACTTAGGCAGAATGAACAGGGGAAAGGGGGCACATCTTTCTGAGCAGGGGCTGTTGAGGGGCTTCTTTGCTCAGGGACTCGCTCTCAAGAGCTTTAGGTATCTAAGGTGGAGTGAGAGGTAGAAAAGAGAAATGGGAGGGATATTCTGAAGGGAGCAAGTTGTTTGCAGTTTGAACCCATCTGGAGAAGATGGTCAGAGGGGGAAAAAAACAGAAAACTGACTGTAGATAATTTTTTAGTATCTTAGAACTCATTAAGTGCACCCCATCCTATTTTATGGATTAGGAAGTTGACACCCAGACAGGACATAGAGCCCAACAGTAGTGGGTGGTGGGTGGCCTCTGCTGACCTCCGAGGTGCAGGAGAGAAAACCATGACTAGTAAAGGATAGGAATGTGAGTTCTGGATCGGAATCCAGCTTTGGGTAAGTTACTGAACTTCTCTGTGCCTGTTTCCTCAGTCGTAATATTAAGTTAATAGTACCTACCTCAGGAAATTGTGAGATTAAACTGGGCAACTCTAAAGGTTCTGCTTATCACAGTATCTGGTGTGGTTAGCACACCATGAACGGTGTGCTATCCTCTGGACCTCATTTCCCTTAGGTATAAATTGAAAACATTAGATGAATGGTTCTTAATTGGAGAGCTTTCTCCCCCTCCCTCGTGGAATGCATGAGAATCCCATGTTCGTTTTTTTCAAATAGCACGTATTTACCAGAGACTTGTATTCTACCCTCTAAGGCAATGTTTTTCAAATATCATGTTGCATGGGAATGTCCAGGGAGTTTGCCAAAATGCAGATTCCTGGGTCCAGCAATTGGCTCGGTATGTCAGGAGTTGGCCCCAGGAATCTAAGTTTTAACACAATTCTGACGCAAGTGGTCCACAGAGTGTGTGGGGGGGGTGGGGGGCAATGACCCTTAAGATTCTCTGTTGTTCCTGGAGGATGTGACGGGAGAGGACATCTCACTTGTCGGGAACCAGTGGACCACATGATCTCTTTCCTTCTAGCTTGGACATTTTCTGATTCTTGAAGCAGGAGGTGGGGGAGGGAGGAGAATTCTCACCCTGAGCACTGAGCACTTCTGCTCCACCCAGTACTGTTCTGTTCTATCCTTATCCTTCTAACTTTAAGCCCTGGGTTAAAATCCATTCCCCATCATATCTTGTTCTCTCTCTTTTAATCCTCACAGTAATTCCACATAGCAAGGGCTGTGGTAGCAACTGTCACCATCTTCACCTCTTGGGACCTTGCTAAAGGGGGCAGCCTGGGATGGCCGTGAGGGCGCGCGAGCTCCCAACTGCAGATCCACTGCATTCCATTCTGAACTGCTCATTTCCAGAGAAGCCAGGAATCTTTCTGTGTGTGAAATTCCTAAGATTTTAAATACTGTTAAGTCCAATATTTTCTAAAATTCTATGGCCAAATCCAACAGGTCTGTTGGGAGTAATTCAGCCCATTTCTGAGTCCCCTCCTTTGGCCGAGGAAAGGGTCCCTTTAAAACGCCTAGGGCAAGCAGAGGCAGACTGTAGCCAGGGGGCTACCCTCCCACCCCCACTGTCTGCTGTAAAGGTCCTAAATCCAGTAAACTGGGTCTGTTGGGGGTAGGGGTGTAACTCCAACTTTTTTTTTTTTCTTAATTACTATCTGCAGTGAAGAATTCAGGATTTGGGGTAATTTAAGGGATATTAGTCTGTCTCCAGATGGGCTGGAGTATTTGTGCTATATCCCCTAACCCAATTCCTACTCAATTCCTAACTTCCCCGGGGGCAACCATGTTTGAGGGCTAGATCAGGGCCTCCTGTGATCTTCCAGAAAATGAACAAGGTGGTGATCCTGCAGAGGCAGGGCTGAAATCAGAGACTAGGGTGGGCCACAGGTGGGGGAACTGGAAGTAGGGCAAATAGCTAAAGTGGGCAGTCTATAGAGTGCCTAGGAACAAGTGCACTCTAAAACTGGAGGGGCTACTTAAGCCTTGGCTGGATCACTCCAGAGTAGCATCAACCCCAGAAACTCTGTAGGTGAGGGCAGGTTTGTAAAAGGGTTTCTTCCGTGTGGTCTTGGGCCTCTACCCAAGGTCTACTACCATCCCACCCTTCAAGCTCATAGTTCAGAGCTAAAGCAATTCTGGAGGAGAAAGCAGAGAACCCAAGAAGCCAGAGTTCGACAGAAGGCCAGCACACAACCCTCAGGGATCAAGATGGAGGAAGCCTAACTCCGTGGAGCCCAGGCAGCACCTTGCCAGGTGATCTCTTCCCAAAACTTCTCAGATGTAAATTCTTCCAACTCCGCCACCAAGGCCTCCTTTCCTTCAGCTTGGGACTTGAGACACTTCTACCAAATGTGTGCACACATGAGCTTATCCTGGGGGCTCATAACTGGAAACATGTCCCTCTTTGGAGCGGTGCTAGAGGCTGGGTGGGTGGCCAGGAATCCAGACTTCTGATACAAAATGGGTTTTTCTGTGTGTATGAGAAAAAAGATGCTCGAAATCGCCATCACCACTTTATTATGTGGCAGTCACACAGCACCAGCCCCTGCTTTTCCCATGTCACCCTCCACTCATCCAGGGGTCCACCAGCCTTTTTCATGCTGGAGTATCAGATGCCAAGGTCCACTAAGGCCTCCTGATCCCTTTTTTCTTAAGTGTAGAGCTAGACTTACAATAACTTGAGTCTTAGAACTGATACTTGTCTCTTAATTGGTGATGGTGAGGACCACTAACAGCAGTTGAGCTCCCAGGGGAGGTGGGATAAGGGGGAGGACCGGTTACAGAGACTGTCCCGAAGTCATGTGGGGGTGGGGGATGTAGGGGCAGAGCCATTTGTTGATCTTTCACTCTGCAAACTGGTCCAAGAACTTGAGGTAGGCCTGGCGCTGGGCCGCAGCTGCTGGAATGAAGTGGCCACCAGAGTGCGTGAGGGTGATGGCCCCAGTGAATCGGCTAGCCAGTTGCATACTTTCCTGAGAGGGGATGACGCAGTCAGTGTCCCCGAAAACATGGAGCGAAGGCAGTAACAAGGGGCCCTGCACGATGCGTTCCTTGAGTCCAAGGCCCCGAGGACAGAAACCAGATACCAGGATGATAAACCTTGGCAAGGGGAAGCGGGGATCGCCGGCTTGGCCAAGGGCACACACAACGGCTGCTAGCGCAGCCCCCTGGCTGAAACCAAGGAGCCCATCGAAAGGCCCCAGTGTCTTCAGGGCCTGTGCCACGGTTCCCAAGGCTTCCTCCAGACCTCTGCACACTGTGGGCTGGCTCAGGGCGTTGAAAACGTCTGCCTCCTGTTCTGAAAACCACCAGCCTCGGGGCTGCTCCTCCTGAAGGCAGGGCTCTACAGCGATACGGGGGAAAGGCTGCGGTTAGGGCAAGCGGGTATCTAGGCGATGAGAAATGAAAAAGGGAGGCGACGGAGGGCTTGGGAATGACAACGAGCAAACAAAGAGGCGGTCGAAGACGAGAAGAAAAGCTGGCGGGAATGAAGTGGAGAGCAGAGTGGCATGGCAAGACGGGGAAGACTGATCAAGGCGGAAGCCTGGGACGCTGGGATGGAAGGAAGAGTAAGGGCAGGGGGAAGGAACGAGGTGAGGACACAGCGTGGGGGTATGCTGAAACGAGGCCAGATCAAAGACTCAGAGGGCATTTCCCGGGCAGCGCCCGTCTCACCGGAGTCCGGCCCGGCGCCCTCGGGGCCCGCGGCATCCGCGACCAGGTGCGGGCCGCTGAGGCACACGAGCTCGGCGCGGCCCCGCAGCGCCTTCCTCAGCGCTCCCGTCTTCTCGCGGAAGCCCCGCTCGCTCTGCCGGAAGCCGGCCAGGGCTAACACCCGCAGGGGTCGCTGCGCCGCCATCTTGCGGGGCAACGCGCCAGGGACCGGAAGCAGCCTTTCCCCGAGCGGAAATCGAATATTCGAGGGGCGGAACCAAAGGCCGGCACCACCCCGAAGGCGGGCCTCAGAGCGAGCGGGTGTTCCCATAACAACGGGGAGGGGTCAGGCGCGGCCGGAGCAGGGGCGGATACCTGAGACCGAGGAGCGTCTCACCGCGCGGGCGGTGCTCCCTTGTCGTCTCTGCAGCTGCAGCCGTCGCAAGCCGCGGCTGGAGAGGGGTGCGTGGCCTCCTGCATCGGAGGTCGCAGACTTTGCTCGGGGTCTCCAGCCCGCGACGTCCTCCACCCTGCTCCCGTGCATTTCCCGGAGCGGCCGCACAGCGGCGGCCTCGGCTCGCGTCGCTAGGGAGGCGGCCAGGGCCAGGCCCGGCTTTGGTCCCTCTCCTCCCGGCTGGCGGTGCCGGCCTACCTTCTCCAGCGCCGGCGGGCTCAGGGCCTGGGGGGGCCGGTTCCGTCCGTGGTTCGCTGTCCACGGCCCCAAGGAGCTGCCGGCGTAGAAGTCCATAGGGTAGGGCTGCTGCCAGGAAATGTCCCTCAGGGCCACCACTGCCTAGGGGAGGACAACAGGACAACATTTGCCAACTTTTTTTTTTTTTTTTTTTAAAGATTTTATTTATTTGACAGAGAGAGAGAAGAGCAAGGGGAGAGGGAGAAACAGGCTCTCCGCAGAGCAGGGAGCCCCATGCGGGACTCAATCCCAGGACCCTGAGATCATGACTTGAGCCGAAGGCAGACGCTTAATCGACTGAGCCACCCAGGCGCCCCTTTGCCAACTCTTTCTGCGCAGGATTAATTAATTCAGTCTTCACGATGGCCTATAGAGGTCCTATTATCCCCATACCACAGAAAGGAAATTCGAGGCTCAGACAGGTCAAGGGACTTGCCCAAGGCCACACAGCTAGGAAATGAGTCAGCTGTAACTAAGTTGCTGCCCACCCCACTGCAGATCCCTCCCTTGACAGAACCAGGTGCAAAGCCCACTCTCAGGTATTTCAAAACTTAGTGTTACCTCATAGGGTGTCAGCAGTGGCTTGGGGAAGGCTGTGCCCCAGTCAATGGAAAGGCGCGGACATGCTACCTGCACCCACCTGGGAAGGGAAGTCACGTGAGACCCAAGGGGGGGGTCCCCTCCCCTTCTGGGCAGCATGCTGAAAAACATGACTGTGTCCCCAACACACCCGATGAAAAGACAGTCACCTACTACTGTTCAGAGTAACACTATAGCGCTGTTTGTTTTCTCCAGGAGAGCGCTCTGTGAGCTGAGGGCAGGGCCTGGGCAGCTCATCTGTGATCGTATCCTCAGAATCAAATTCACTTTAGTTCGGGTACACTGCAGGTGCCAACCACCCCACAAACTCATCTCACACCGAATGACTGTGATGTTGCAGTTACCTGTGAGCCCCCAAACCAAAATGGGTGTGACCCATAGCCAAGGGTAGCCCCTGCTAAGCCCCTGAGTGCTCTGTAAACATTAAAATTTCACGGAAGCAATTCCCACTGACTCCAGCCTTCAGTATGTGCTGGGCAGGACTCAGATCTAAGCTTCCTTAGCCAGAGTCACAGCTAGAGAGGTAGGGTGAGAAAACTTACACATCCACTTCAGGAAGTAGGCTAAGCTTGCTGGGGAAGATCTCAGAAAGCAGCAGCCTCATGAAGGGAAGTCCCAAGGCTTGGAGTCGAGATTCCAGGTGCTGTTGGAAGAGGGAGGCCAAGCTCAGGTCACCACGACTGAGCAGCCAAGTCTAAATCCCTTAGTCTACCGATTTTCCCAGCTGGGTTTCTAGTCAGTCCCCTCCTCCAGAGGCCATCCCAAGCCCTCTGACCTCCAGAATTTTGGGGCTGCCCTGGCGGCCCAAAGTGCCCAGGATAAGGCCCCAGGATTTAGCTGAGCGGGCCGTGGCTATGGCTTCTTGGCGGCTGGTCTGCATGCGCTGATGGTCATAGTGCTCTCTGGAGAGGACTTTGCTGTATGGGTCGTATCTGGAAAAGAAGCTATCAGGGTTATGGCGACAGCCATCCACAGCACCTGTTGTACACACGGCTCCCTGACCCAGCCCCTTGGTCTCCTAAATCTTTAGGTTCCACGCAGGTAATTAGGAATAGAGGCGAGAACAGAGATCGTCGCTGGAAAGCTCAGTCCCACAGCTGGAGCAGGGAAAAGTAGGAGGGGGGGTTTCGGATCTCAGTGTGACTCCCAGGGGATGGGTGGGTACTGTGCAGCTCCAGCCCTGGGTCTGACACCTGGATTCAGGACCCAGTTACCTCAGATCCTTAGAGCTGTTGGCTGTCAAGGGGCCCGGGAATGAGGAAATTTCAACCAACTGAGGGCTTCAGTGGCAGGGAAATCCCACCCCCTCCCTGGCTGGTCAGCCCAGCTCAGCCCATACCGGTAAGCGGGGACACTAGGGTTGGCAATCATGACAGACTCCAGATGGAAACGGCCGTCTCCGAGATATCTGCGGCAGGGAGAGAGGGGATGATAAGTATGGGGTGGAGTGAGGCAGCAGAAAAGGCAGGCACTGGCCGGGAGGTCCAGAGTTCCTGGCTGAGTGCGCTGCTGTGCGTGTGTGTGAACTGGCCTAAGTCATCATTCGGCCTCCCGAAGCCTTGGTTTTCGCACATGCAAAACAAGGAGTTTGAACTGGATGAGCAATAAGGCCCTTCTAGTTATGTAATGCAGATCTAAGAACTGTTCCGTCCCCCAGCCTTGTGGGGGACAGGTAAAACGGCAGCCAAGGCCATGGGAAGGCCGCGCAGGGCTCTAGAGATCCTAGCTCGGAGGTGGCGGGACAGGTTCTCCTTCGCCTAGCTCAACATAGACATGGCAAGTAGGGTTCAAGGTGTCACCAATGTTGTAAATGAAGTTTCGGGGTATACACTGGCTCTCTGCACCCAAACTGGTTCTCAGGTCCTGCTACTGAGTTGTACCAACTACTGTTTACTGGGTTTGCATCTTCTGTGCACCAAAGCCGGGACTAAGCACTTGCCACGCAGGAGTTCACTCAGTCCTATCAAACAGTCCTCCAAGCTACCTATAGTATCCCCATTTTACAACAGATACAACTGCTGCTCAGGGATGTTAAGAAACTTGCCCAAAGTCACACAGCTATTAAGCAGTAAATCTGGGACTTGACTCTAGGCTTAACCACCAGGCTCTATCAAGCCTGTCCCTAAAAGTAGCTTCCCAAGCCACAGAGAAGGCAGAGCATAGAGGACAATCTGCCATGGCAGCTCCTACTTTCCTGGAGACCACGCTGATTTTTGTGATAAACGGCCAACACCCAGGGTGTCTCTCCCTCCAACACACACCTTGAAGCCCCCAAGGGTAGGCACCTATGGGTTCAGAATTATGTGGGCGCAGGAACAGGGGGAACGCCCTTTGGGGAGCAGGGCTGCCAGGTCTGGGCTGGGGAAGGCCCTGATGTGGGCCTGTCTAGGGGCAGGGCTGAGTCAGGGGAGTGTCCCTCCCTCTTTCCCCGCCATCAGCTAGGAATGGGGCTCCCTTCCCTAGTCCCCGCGGGGGGAGCTGCCGGCTCTGAGGCTGGCTGCATTCACACAACATTAAGCATTTCCATTACCGAAAATAATTAGGCAGCAGGAGACACACTGCTCCTGCTTGTTAGCTGTCCGGATGCTAAATTAATGGGGCTGCAGCCTGGGCGTGCCCAGCCATCTTCTCCAATTACATTCCCACCATTTCTAGCCCACCCTCATCCCTCCCCCCGCCCCGCCCCGATGAAGCCCTCTGATTCCTGCCCCACCCCGGGCATAGCCTCCTACATGGTGGACAGAGCACCTGAGAGGGAGACAGGAAACCTGAAACCCTATTTGGTCCCCATTTTGCAGGGTGACCTTGAGCAAACAGTTAAAGAGCTTGAGACTCAGCTTCTTTTCCTATACAACGAACCTCCGGCTCCCTTCTAGGGTACATTTCTTATGCCTCTACAACTGGCCCCCCATTTTTCACTTACACAACAGCCTCCACCTCTTTGGGCAGATGGGGAGCCGTGCAGCCCAGAATCTCCCCAGGGGACAGGGGCTTGCACTGTGGGACACTCACATGGTACTCAGCTTTCAGCTCCTTCGCAGCTGCCTGTAGGGATGATGAGGGAAGGGAAGCAAGTGGGTGAGGAGGGAGAGCCAGGGCCAGAGGACCAGCCTGGAGCACCTAACGTGGGCCCCAGGAACAGCCTGGAGGCTGGCTGTTATCTGTCCACTTACCTGCAAGGTTGACACAAACTGAATGGTGCTGACCAGGGCAAGGGAAGTGGCAGGGGGAAAGGTGAGGCGGATAGAATCCAGGAGATGGGTAGTATCTATTCGGATGTCCACAAAGATGTACAATACCCGGAAGTCTTGGGCCGAGGTGTCCATGGGAACTGGGAGGAGGCAAGAAGTCAGGAGACTGTTTTGGAAGGCAAGAGGGGCAGGGGGCCTACCTGGGCCAGGGTCTCTGAGCAGCCAGGACCAGTGGCTTCAGCCTAGGGATACAAGGAGTGGGTAGGCGGCGGGGGGGGGGGGGGGGGGGGGGGGACAGTCATAGGTCCCTCAGAAGCTCCTTTTCGGTCACTCGGCCGGGGGGCCCAGCCTGCTCTACCACCAACAGCCTTTCGAACACCCACATCTGGGACAGCAACACTGTTTCCAAGGCAACCAAATCCAAAAAAAAGATGTACCTGCAGAGCAGGAAGGCCAAGGCCATCCCAGACACTGGGAGGGACCTCCTGCCTGCAAGCAGGACAAGAAGGCACCAACGACGGGGGATTAGCACGCAGCCCTGCCTCTCTGCCCCCCGCCAGGACCCCGGCTCGCCATACCCAGGCAGCTGTGGCCGTAGTGCACCAGGAAGTCAGCGCCCAGGGCCCTTGCAGTAAAGTCATCCACACAGCAAGCCCCATACGTCACATCGCCCATCACCATCACTTCAGCCTCTGTGAACCTGTGGGGGCGGGGGAGCAGGGGGAACAATGAGGCAGTGACACAAGGGTGAGGTGGGAGAGAGACCTACCCCCATGGGGTATCTCGGGGCCCAGCTGCCACATCCCCCGGTCCTGGCGGCAGCTCCTGGGACCGTCGCTGTATGCCGATGGTCTCTGTAGCGCCCCGGTTCCTCTGTCCAAGCTCAGACTGCAAGGAGGACCCCCACCCCTCAGCCTGGCATACACAGGGTCAAAAACAGACCTCTGACGCCCTGACTCAGCCCACCCAGAGCAATGAGCACGTACACACACGCAGACGCACCCACTCCCATGCCTCGACACTGCGGTGTGCGTGGGGACGCATGGGTGGATACACACGGCCTCCCTGTCACCCAGACCCCCTGCTACCTCCCCACCCTCAGTTAGGGCCCTCTGTGCCCAGGATGGGGGGACCCATGAACAGCTCCCCCACAGCACATGGCACCACCCACATACCTCGTGCGTCAGGAAGAGTGGGCTCTGGCCAACACATTGCCATAGGATCTGCTGCCAGGCCTGAATCACTGGGGGACAGGGGTGGGTGGGGAAGACCCCGCACTCCCCAAATTCACCACGGGAATGGAGCTGGAGGACCAGGTCTTCCTTGAGAGACCTGCCCCTGGGGCATGGGGCCTGGCTTGCTGACTGGGGTCTCCCCATTTCTCTCCTGGGGGCGTGGTGGGGAAAGCTGAGTTGCTGTCAGTCAGCAGCCCCCCTCCTCTCCCTTCCCCAAACCAGTCTGTGCACAGAAGCAGATTATTCAACTCCTTAAAATGCAGCTCAGGCGTCTGAGTCAGCCAGAGCACTTAATTTTTTATAGATTAAAATGTATGCAAATTGGCCTGAGCCCCAGAGAGCATCCCCAAGGGGCAAGAGGGTGGGAGCTGGGAAGTGAGTCTGTGGCAGTGGATGAGAAGCGGAGTGGGGGGGGGGGCAGCAGCAGGGAAGTGGGAGGTTCCTATCACGAGATGACCTCCCCTTTCCCCCCATTCCCCCTCCCTGTTCCTGTGCTGGTTCCAGATGGCTGAGCACTCCCCACCCCCACCCCCCAGGATGGCTCATTGTAATGAAGAAACTTAGAGAGGGGAGAGGAACTGAATACCATCTCCTAGACACTTCTCCCCCACCAAGCCCCTCCTTGCCCTACTCCCTCAAATGTTCCAGAGAAAAAGGTTCCCCTTGGCTAGACCGGATGCTGACAACTCAGCTCATTCCAGGTCAGCCCTGAGGATTCTTAAGTTCCTCCTCAGGCCCCACCACCTGCACCTGCTCTAGGCCCAGCTTTGAAGATACTGGAACCAACTCATTCCCTACCACCCCCGACCCCCCACCTTAATATTTTAGGGAAAGAGAGATTTATATGGACAAGCCAAGCCGGACAGGCTGGGATCTCAGCAGGCTGGGAGTTTAGTTTTGGCTTTTTCCCTTTGTGCGTGTATGGTTGTGTGAAGGGACAGGGTAAGGCCAAGGTCCAGAAGGAAAAAATGTCAACAGGCAGAGCTACAAGGGGCATGGGGAAGGCCTTGGCTTAGCTTCTTCTCCAGAGCCCCAAGCCTCACCTTTCCAAGATATCCACAATGGTGCAGGCAAAGAGGAGAAGGCCCTCAGGCATTTGCAAGGCCACTGAAAGACAGAGCAGAGACATGAGAGCAGAGGGCTGGGAGAATGCTGGAATGGGGATACTGCCCCTGACTGACCCAGGCAACCTCTCCAACCCTACCCCATCTCAAAGCTTGGGGGCTCACCCTTCTTGGCCCGGGCCTGCTGAATCCTCCAGATGGTCTTGGGAATTTCAAAGTTATAGTTGGAAGGCAGGACTTGAATGGCTGCCTGCAGCTGGGGGTTGTTCAGGATCTCAGGGGGGATCTGATTGGCCAGGCGGCCCCTAGGGGCTCGACCTAGGACAATGCAAGGCCTGAGTTGGCACCTGGCCTAAAACAGAACCAGACCCAGTTAAGCTGTTAACACCACCCAAGTTTCAGGCCCAGATCCCAGATGCCAAGGGGATTGGCCCAGCCTTCTTCCTCACTGAGTTCATTCTGAAGCTGGAAAGACAACCCATTAAGCCAGGAAGAGATCTGCATAATTAGGTTCCATGTTGTGAGATTACTGGGAATCAAAGATTTGAGTCCATGAGTGGGGTATAGTTCACCCCTTACCTTTGGAAGAACAGAGGTGATACCAGCAGACTGAACTGAGGGGCAAACGGGAAAAAGTCCAAACAACTGCTCCTTGATAAAGAACAACTCTGAGGAAAACCCAAAAGCCTAGCAGTCTAGGAAAATGTTCCCCCATCCCTGAAAACACCTTGAAGTTCTGAGGTCCTAGATATGAGATCTATAAGCAAACTGTTATAAGTACTAAAGACTTTTACCCTCTTTACTCAAGTCCCACTGACTCTATCTACACTGATGAATCCCTACACTCTTCCCTCTCCTTTTTTTTTTTTTTAAGATTTTATTTATTTATTTGACAGAGAGAGACACAGTGAGAGAGGGAACACAAGCAGGGGGAATGAGAGAGGGAGAAGCAGGCTTCCCGTGGAGCAGGGAGCCCGATGCGGGGCTCGATCCCAGGACCTGGGATCATGACCTGAGCCGAAGGCAGACGCTTAACGGCTGAGCCACCCAGGCGCACCCCCCTCCTCATTTTTAAAAGGGAAATAAACACCAAACATTTAACTGATTTAACAGGTTCCTTAGTCCCATTGTTCCACCCCAGGAAAAATGAAAGGACACACTCAAGTTAGGACTGTGGGCAAACAGGTAAGGAAAGAGAAGTGACCTCGCCCTTTAGTGGCTAGTAGTCTGGCGGTGGCAAATGCAGGTATACAAATTACAACCTGATTAAAGGAGAAAACACTGTAGCCCATTAGCAAAACTGCAGTCCTTAATTTGCCCCCTATTCCCCACAATTCAGTTTAGCTCAACCCCTATTATCTCTTTAGGAACAAGATAGTTTGGGAATGTGATAAGGAAACAAGAAATTAATGTATTGAACAAATATTTATTGAACCTGTACTTTGTTTCGGAACTTCCGCTAGGGCCCTTAACTACTATGGGAGGGATCCTCCCAGATTTGACCCTTCACCCTCTGCCTGTGGGTGGATGATGGTAGTGACGATGGTGCAGTGGAGAATGAGCATTGGCAGGCTGGGATCCTGAGACCATATTTGAACGTTACCACTGCCATCGTTTTTGTTCAGTTGTTTCAAAGGCCTTGGAACAACCAGCCCAGAACCCTGGGCCCCTCACAGAAGCTCCTCTGACCGGGCAAGTCCCTTGTGGTCGTTGGGGTGTGGGAGCTGCTGGTCTTAGCTCAATTTGTCCCCAGGACTAGTTAGGCGCCTCCTCCTTTATCACGTGTCTGTGATCTTCTGTTTACATCGGTATTCTCCGGTACACGGAGACCCCTGAGAGCAAGGCTGTCGTGCAGTCCCCTGCATCCAGCAAGGGCCTGGCAGTTAGTGAGCGCTCAGTGAGTGCCTGGTGAATGAAGCCATGTGCCTCTTTCCTGAAGGCATTCCCTGTGGGCCCACTTGTGGAATGACCGCTGCAACGCGCCCGGCTCTTTCCTTCCCCATCGGGTCCGCCTTATCCGTGAGTCTTCCTGTGCCAGCCAAGGCAGGGCGGGCAGCGTTTCCGGCTTGAAGACTACAAGCTCCTAGGAAGCGCTGCTCCCGATCACGCCCTAAGGCTGCAAAAGGAAGACCGGGCCCTCTGTGCTCCAGCGAAAGCCGCCGGGGCAAGCGACAGCGGGGCCTTCCGGGTCTGGCGGAGAAAGGCCGCCGCCATTAGCGGGGGATGATTCTGTCCCTGACTTGGGGGCCCTAACTCGCGATGCGAGGTCCGGGGGCCGCAGCGTAGTAGCACCCACCTCTACCAGTGCCGTTTCGGCTGCCCGGCCCCGCCGCCACGGACTCCGCCAGCGCCGCCATCACTGACCTGTCCACATGGAGACCAAAAAGGCAGCGCTAGAAGAGCGCCGAGAGCTCAGGCATTGCGATCGACCGCCGGTCGCTAGCGAGGGGCGGGGATTTGCTGGGCGGGGACCAGGAAGGAGACGATCGGGGCGGGGCTACCGCGGGTTCCCCCCTCAGCCCGGAAGGGCTGGGCTCTCCCCCGCCCCTAGCAGTCTAGCACTGCGCTCTCCCGACCCCCCAGTCTTCTCCTCCGCTCCCGGTTTGCCAGACGGGGCACTCCCGGACCAGTGCTCCCCTATTTGCCGACTCCTTGCCGGAATTCTGTGGGCCAAGTCTTGTGAATGGGACACGCCCCGGTATCCCTTTTGCTCCTCTCCCAGTCTCACCTGGTAAGCAGTGGAGGCCGTGTAGGTAGGGCTACAATCCGTAGCTCAGAGGACCCCACTGCCCAAACAAGACAGAACTCAGCTCCCATCAGCCCAGCTCCAAGCTGAGTCCTGGGGTTGATTTCTGGAGCGCCAGAGTGCCCTTACCTTTAGAACCAACAGTGCGGATGCTGAAGGCTCCCGTGTGAAAAACTGCTACCAAGGGAAGGCTCCAAGCCCGAGGATGCTTTCCCGGGGCAGGGCGTGGGGGCGGGGGGCGCAGTCCAAGGAATTCAATCGCCTAAACCAATCCACCGTTTTCCCTGCCTCGGCTGCCCCTCAGGCCTAGATAGCCTTTCTCTTGATCAGGCCTGGACTCCTGGGATCCCAAAGAGAAGGCATAGCAGCCAGGGAGACGGCCTTGACCTTTGGAAGAGCAGAGAACCTGCAGGACTGGCCCTTAGCCCTGTCTGCCCCATACAGCAATAGTCCCCAGGGCTGTTTGCCCGAGCAGCCCTCTGGCACCATCTTCCTCTCTCTGAGGGGGTGCTGTGAGCACGGCTGGCCCTTTAAGGTAGCTCTGCGGCCTGGGGTTCCCCTGGAGGCCCTCCTTGCTTGGAAACTCCTAATTAAGGTACATGGAGAAGTGAAAAACAAGCAGCCAGGGACAGGCCTCTCTGGGCAACTGCCCAGAGAGGAGGGATATATGGGCTGGCTGAGAGTGAACAGCCAAGGGGAGGACCAGAAGGAGTCAGTGCTCTGGCCCTCAGGCCACCGACTGATACTCTGAGGACAGTCATAGCTTTGGACAGGACTGTGGCCAACATGGGTCCCAGGAACACCCCTCTTGCCTTGATAAGAGCCCAGCCTGGACTTCTCATCTCCCCCAGGTTCTTTGAACTCCCAGGGTGCAAGATCTCAATTCCAGGGATCCCCGGAGTTCAGCCCCTCCCCCTTCAGGGCACTGAGGCCCAGCCTGTGGACAGCTTTAACTCTGGCTGCAGCTGTGAGTTCCCAGGGGGTGAGGATTGACTCCAGCAGAGCAGTGACTTTTCCCTAGCAGGCACCCCATCCCTTAGGGCCTTTCCCTAGGCAGAAGTGGGGCCTGTTGATGATTGAAGGCCCTCATCCTCTTACAACATTGCCCCACAGCCTCTTGTGCTGAATGAGCTGCCCTAGCACCCATTAGGAAACCAGGTGATGTCTAGGGAGCATGTCCCCTAAGATACTGTAGTGAAGGACATTGGGGGCTGTCCTTCAGCTTGGGCTGAGAACACCTCCATCTGTTTGTGGGGGGTCTCCCTGCCTGAGTTACTCAGCAGGCTGAGTAATTACTGCCTGACAAGAAGGCGGGCACAGTGCACCCCCACATTATACCACAACACCCGCCTAAGAGTCACCCCCACCCCCTGGCTGGACTCCAAAGCAGCACCCAGCCCTCCTGAGGCCTGAAATAACGCTGCTTCTCACACTCACGCCCAGCCCCAGCTAACTTTGTCTGAGATGCTGGAGTTTATGGGGCAGGGGGGTCATGGGGAGGCAGCTCAGGGAGTTGGAAGGAGGATTAGCATACCCCGATTCAGGCCTACACTTTGGCACTGATCTGCTTTGTGACATGGAGCAAGTTGTTCAGCCTCCCTGGGCCTCAGTTCACTCACAGAGAGTTTCTGCCTTCAAGACCAGCTTTAACGTCTGGCAGGGTGTGGGGCCAAGTCCAGCCCTGCAGCTGGTCAAGGCTAAGAGAAAGAATACATCACCTTCAGTTCCATCCCAATATGGACCAATCTTCTGAATCTTCAGAACAAGGTTACTTTTTCACCTTCAAGCATTTGCACCTTCTCTCCTGCCTAGAGTGCCCTTTTTCCTTCTCAGACTGATGAACTCAGCCCTCAGGACCCAACCTAAATGCCATCCCTTTGATGAAGGCTTTCTTGATCGTCCTTCACCCCTCACAGAACTAGCAGAGCCCCCTCCAAAACTTTGTGTCTCCTCCTGTCACATTCTAAGATGGCTTGTGGGTCTTTCTTCCCCAACTATGCCCTAGGCTTTTGTAGTTAACATGCCGATGTAGTTAGCTGAAACCCAGAGCCTCGGTGCCATTGAATGTATGTGTGAGTGAATGAATGATACTGGCCTTCTTTCGCCAATCATACCAAGTTTTTCTCCAAGGGATTGCAACTGATTGTCTCACTTCAGTTAGCTCTCTTAGATGTCACCAGCTTAAAGCAGCACTCCCTGACCCCCTCATAGCAGCTCTCTACTATACCCTGCTTGCTTTTCCTCCATGCATTGTCTCATCTGGACTTCTCATTTGGTGCCTGTTAACTGTATTAAACTCCACAAAGGCAGGGACCTTGTCTTTTTCATTGGCTGAATCCCTAGGAATAGTAAAGCCCCACACGATTGACCCACAATAAATGCAGCCCATTTATTGAATGAGCGACAGCCCACTCTTTTTCCTTTCCCAGGACCCCTCTTATCCCAGGCCAGTAGGGGGTGCCGCCTCCACCCAGGATCTCGCCTGGCCTGAACCTTCTCTGCTCAGTGCAACTGGCCCCCTGCGGGACCTGCTTTCTAGGCGGTGCCTCCTTCCATTTTCCAGGAAGCCCCGGGTGGGGTCTGTGTAGACTGAAGAAGATCAGGGACCCCCACCCCCACTCCGTCTAGGCGGGGATAGCCCACCTGAGCCCCACATTGGTCCTCCCCTCTCTCTAGGATTTGCAACGGGGCCTCCCTGAATGCTAGCTGGGTGGACTAGACCAGCCTGGGGGCGCGCCACACCTACCCCCCAAAAGAATAGTATCCTGGGACGCGGGATGCGAGGCGGCTGGGTTTCCCGGAGCTGTCCTGGGCAGGGAGGAGCCGTCGAACCTCCGAGAAGGAAGCGGAGCCGGCTAGAGAGGATATGGGCAAGGGTGCAGACTTGTGATCGGGGTCTCTGGGCGGCAGTCCTCCCGTCCCAGCCGGTGGGCAGAGCGCACGCTTCCAGCCGCCTCTCCCAGTGACCTCCAGCCGCGAAGGGCGAGCGGGCGGGGGTTGGGCTGCGGGTGCGAGCTCCGGGAAGCCCGCGGGGCCCGGGAGGGGCTTTCGAGTGGCCCGACGGCCGCCCAAGGGCTGGGGCAGGTATTGGACCGACGCGGGCCAAGGATCGTCCCCGGGGTCGGGCGCAGCGAAAACACCTTGGGAGGCGGCGCCGCGCGGCTGAGCGCCGCTGCCCTGGGAATAGGACGGCGCTAGGCACCGCGAGCTGAGAGCACTTTCATAAATTTTGTATGGGAGGCGCTCCGTGAGCGGGGGCGGGGAGCGAAGCGAGAGGGAGGGAGCTAGCGAGCGAGCGAGGGAGGGAGGGTGGGAGGAGGAAAGGTGGGGGAAGCCGGGGGGTGGGGGGAGGAAGGGAGGCGCCCCGCTCCGCCGATCGCTGGGTCCTGCAAACGCGCGCCGGGCGCTTTCCCCGGAGCTCGGCGGTGCGTGCGAGCGCCCTTTTGCAGCAGCCGCGGCGGCGGCGGCGGCCCGAGGGGGCGGAGAGGAGGGGGCCGCGGCCCGGCGGCCGGGCGGCCGGGGGGCGGTGTCCCTCCTCAAAACCGCCTGCAAAGAGCTCGGGGCTGCAGAAGCAGGCCGCCGGCTCCGCGGAGCAAGCCGCTTGTCCCGGGGCTGAGCGAGCGCGCCGGGCTGCCCGGCAGAGCCGCGGTTGCTAGTGGGCGCCGGTGCCCTCGGCGCGGGGCTCGGGCTCACCATGCCCCTGAGGGGCCGGGCTGCCGGGCACAAGCGGATCCCCGGCTTGCCCCCGCCTCGACGCGCTCGGATTAGCTGCAGCCGGCGCCCAAGGATTTGAATCCGGACTCTGGGAGGGAGCGCGCCTAGGCCGACCTCGGAGTGGCGGCCCCGCGGCCAACATGCTTCGCAAAGGTGAGTTGGAGCCGAAGGGGCAAGTTGGAGTTGAGTGCGCACGCGGCAGAGCCTCGAGCCCGGGAGCCACCCGAGAGCTCCCCGGCGCCCGAGGTCCTCGTCCGGGAAGCAGCCGCTGGCGGGCTGGTGGGCTGGCGGGCTTTGCGGGGACGCACCTGCGGAGGGTTTGCTGCTTGAGCTCAGCCCCTGTCGGTGGCCGGTTGCGAGACACGGGATTTGCACCATGGATCAAGCGGCCAGGCCTAGGGATCTGGCTCGGGGAGGTCATTTCGAGACCACTGTGAGCTACCCATGATGGAAGGGGAGCCGGCCTTCCGAGACCTTTGCTTTGCCATTATAAAGTTTTGCAGTTGCAGGCTCCATCCCCTGCGTGGGCGCCTGCTGCCGGTTCTGCCGCTTTGGCGGGGCCGGGTGCAGCCCGCGCTCCAGGGCGACCAGCGGTCAGTCACCGCGCCGCCCAGGCGCTCCCTGCGCGCCCTCGCTTCTCAGGCGGGGCCGGGACGCGGGCACCTTCCCTGCAGTCCTGCTTTGGTCCTCAGGGATGGGCTCTGGGCATGCAGCAGCCCAGGGGAGGTGGCTAGCGCCTAATGTCCGGTTCTTCAAACTTTCCTTATGCCTGGAGCAGAGAGATGGGACGGCGGGGGCCGTACCGGCTGCGTGCGGGGCAGGTGCCAGGCTCAACTTGAGGAGAGCTGGCCCCGCGACCACCTAACCACAATCCCCCTCCCATCCCCCCGCAACCCGGCTCATTGCAGAGCGTTGCAAAGTTGGCGCGGGTGCTGGGGAAGTCCCGCCGCGCCCCCACGTGGCTGCCGCGCGGGGAGCTGTCCCCGGGGCCCAGGGAGGGCAGGTGACCACGCCGAGAGCCCGCAAGCCCTGTCTCCCGCTGCCCGGGCCTCGGCGTCTGCCTCCCTCCCCTCCCGGGTCGGGGCGAGCTGCGACGCTCGGTCGGGACCCTATCGTCTCTGGGCCGGGCCGGGTGGCCGGCGAGCCGCGGCGGCTGCGTCTGGCTGCCCGGGCCCTGCGGGAGCCGGCTGAGGCGGGAGCTCAGGTAGCTGAGGGGCCTGAGCCCTGCGCTCCGCGCTCCTGCCTTAATCCGCCCCTGTTTCCATGGCAACAGACCGAGGTGTCGTAAGCACAGGATTCTGACCTCACAGTAGGATGGGGAAGGAGAAAACGGGCAGGGGGAGGTGGCGGAGGAATGGGCAGCGAAGCCCCAAGATGGGCGGAGAGGAGCAGATGTGGGGGTCGTGGAAGAGACCCCACAAGCAGGTGGGACAGGTGGGTGAAGAAACCACGCCTTCACTGGAAGCAGTAAAGGCTGTGTGGTGGTCCCGGCTTGCTCAGGCCTACAGGGGAGCCTCGGTTGCCCCATCGTGTCAATAGTCACAAACTTGTGTGTGACTTGTGTCTTCCACGTGGGCCGGGGCAGTGCCGGGGGGAAACGCTGACTGCCTTTTACTGTGGTGTGGGGAAAGTCTCTGCGGCTGGTTGGAGAAACCTCTTCACTGATACACCCCGGTTCCTTTTCCCTGCAGAAAGGGACTAAAAGTCCTTTCAGCAGCTAGCGGTGCTGGTCAGTGTCTGCACACAGAGGGTGATTTTTACAGAACTGAGCAGAAGCCGGGGTCTGAGAAGCTTGGGCCTGGAGTGTGCACACTGGCCTTGGTGGGTAAGGCTTCCTAGGCAGTTTTAAGAGGCCACCATGTCCAGGTTGCTGGGTCTGTGATGGAGATAATAGAGGGGAACTGACATCTCATTTTCCTTCTGGTCTTTTGTCTTTTGGCAGTTTACAGTTAAAAATGAGCCACAAAGCAGCCCGTGTACTTTATTTACATGGCTTAGGTGCCCAGGGAGGCTTGAGCAGCCTCCAGAAGCCTTTCTCTCCCATCCTTGCTAGCCAGAGACCCAACTCAGGATGAGCCCAGTGCATCCTGGGGGCCTCTCCTGGTGGAGGAGGCTCACTTACCCTGTTCAAGAGGTGGCCACTGGAGGCTTAGCAGTCATATGTGTTCACCACTTGGGCTATTTTTCCCTTCCTGCATGGCTTGGTTGGTGAGAGAGGTTCTACCAACAGAGGTTTCCACCTGGATTGGCCGGAGGAAAACAGAGCAGAAAAGCCCTTTGCTGGGCTAGGCTCAGCTCCAGTGGCCTGCAGCCTGCTGCTGGGACATTGTGTGGGCAAAGGACTTTTATTTTGGTCCTTTGCCGGACAATCTGCTCTCTCAGCCCCTGGTCCTGATCCGTAGGACTTGTTTCTTTTACACACATATACGGGACACTCAGATACGCTGTGTGGATTCTAGGTGTGTGCTCAAAGCCAAAGGTATACCCGAGGCTAATGCCAAGGGAGGTGGCCATTGCAGTTTCTGCTTCTCGAATTCTTCCCAAAAGCTCCAAGCAACAATGTTATGGGATGGGTTCAGACCACTGTTGCAGTTTCCCTGCCTATCAGCTGCAGAGCCCTGCATGGAGTCCTGGACCTGGCGGAGTATCATAGTCTCGATTTGGAAAAGGATTTGAAAAAAGAAAGAGCAGCTATCCCTAGATCCTGGGGTAGGGTGGAAGAGAAACACCCTCGTACTTTTCTATAAAGGGTTGGGCTCACGGTCTTGACAATGGAGCGCTTTGTGGAGTGAGGAGGCTCAGTGGTCTGAAGAAGGTGAATGTAGACATTGGATCATGGGGGTCATTGCTCTGACTTCTGGTTGTCCTATTACAGCAAGCTGGGTGCTGTCCCCTGGCAGGACATTTTAGGAATTGGGGGGTGCTGCCTTGTGTCTCTTAATGAAAGGACTCTACTGGCCATAGCCACACCTCTGTGAACCAGAACAGCCTGAGTCGTCAGTGGATCCTGCTGCTGACAGTGCTGGTAGCTGGAGCCTTCAGCAGCTGCCTGCCCTCTTTTCCATCTCCTGGCCTACCCTGGCAGAACCAGGGATATAAAAAGCAAGCCTCTGGTCAGAGATGAGAGACAGGCAGGGCAAGCCATGCCCGGAGCCACCCAGCATCATCCAGGAAGAAAGGGAAGCCTGTTGGGGGTTTTGCTTTGCCAGAAGTGGCCTGCTTAAGGTCAGGATCTATGGTTTTCATTTTTAGAGCTATAAAAACAGAATGCAAATCAACAGCCTCTGGGCTAATACAGAACCTATCCTTAAAGTTTTTGTCTTGTTAAGTAAGGAAATAGAGTGCCAAATAGGCTTTGTTAAGTGGCAGTCTAATTAATAATTTAAAATCTTGTAGCTGTCTTTCATTAGAATATATCTGTACATCAACCACAAAATCAGTCAAACACACTCATAAGTTAATGCCATCCTTGAATAATTCAGCAAGAGCTAGATTAAGGCCTGCAATCCAGTAAGAAGCATTTTGTTCTTTTGGTTTCCATAGCCACATGGGCTGGCCTGGTGGCTGGATTGGGTCTCCTTTGTGTGAAGAAAGGGAGGAAGTGGGAGGAAGGGACCGCAGGGTCGTCAGTGCTTGGTGGATTTGAATCCAGAGGTTCCCTAGGTGACCTGAGAGTCTCCAGCTGTCCAGGTGTCAGCAGGCTCCACCTCTTGGAGCTATCCATAACAAGGTCCTCTGTAGCTCCAGTAGAGAAGAGAAGGGAGGAATATTCCATGGACAGCCAAGACACTCTTCTTTCTGCTGCAGAGGAAGTATGTAGAGAGGAAGTTACAAGAGCCCTGCTCGGGAGGGTTGAGATATGAGGCTTTTTTAATCCCAAATCTTGGTGCAGAAACGAAATTTCAGTCTTCCCCACCTAATTGTGTCCCACCCAGGGAATGCAGCCTGGTGGTAACCAGTGTCACCAAAACAGCTTCTTTCATTGGGAGCCTCTGGGCTGCTTCCTTTCTCAAAGCTCCTGGTCCTTATGCCAGAAAAGAGAAGCCAAGGGGAGGAATCTTAGGGGAGCACCAGGACACACCAATAGAAGAGAAGCAGCGGGAGTTGCTCAGTAAAGCCCGTGCATGCATTTTCTCACCAGTGGCCAGAATAAAAGCAAGGCAAGGAGTGCATTGTTTTCCTTGTGAGCTCAGACCACATAGCAAGTGTGTTTTGGTTCGATTCCTGTCATGCCGATATGCGGCCAAGTCCTCGCTGCACTGCTCAGGCCCATCTTCTACAGAGAAACCATTCAGGACCCAGACCCCCCGCTCGGGCACATTGGCTCCTGCACCACCGGAAGGCAGCCTGGAGTTTCTGGTCTGTCTCAGGCCACTGATCCCGAGGCCTCTGGAGGCTTTAAGGGCACTATTTGTGAACACCAGGTAGATAACTGGAGCAGACGGTGGACCTGACGCCAGGAGAATGTTCTTGGCCAAGTTTGAAAAGGGGAAGTCTCTTTAGGAAGAGGAAAAGGGGGGGGGGGTGTCTGTCCCCTGACCTGTGGCCGCATTGACAGCAGATGGGACTGAGGAGGGAGGCTGGTGGGTGAATCCAGCTCCAAGCTTTGGAGTCATAGCCTGAAAAAGGACAGAGCAGAGAGGGGTTCACTTGCTGGAGAGGAGAATGAGGGGGCAGGCATCATGAAGGATGTCAAGAACGGATCTGTTGGGTACCATCTGCAGCAAAGTAGTGGTTAAGGTTAAAGCAGAGAGGAGATGACAGGGAGGGAACAGATGGCCAAGGAAGCAAAATAGCTGGCGAAACGGGAACAGAGCCTCCAGGGACAGCAGAAGGCAGGACCTCCGCGCAGAATGCCGGAAGCAGCCCTTCCTTGGGGTGCGCTGGCCAGGCCACCCTGACTAAAGGGAGTCGGAAAGAGGAGTGGGGCAGGGACTTCAGAGGTCTCAAGGCCTGGGACAACACCTAGCGAGACATCAGCTCCAAGGTTAGGGGGCCCAGAGCTGGGACCTCCTTGGATGCCTTTGAACTGGGGAGAGGAGGCACCCTGACTTGGGGTCCCTCACTAGGGCAAAGCCACGCCATGTCAGGTCTCAGAGCATGCCTGGTTGAGCCCCCCAGGAGGAGGTATGGATGCTAGCGGGGACAGGGGC